AATGTATGTTTCATATTTATGATAGTTTGGCTCTTTCACAAATTGTTTAGCCATAAGCCCAATTGGGAAAATAATTAAAATAGAGACAAACAGAAATTTATTTAATGTTAATTTTGATGAACTATGAATTCATTATACTCAATTATGATTCTTGTTACTAAGTGCACAGAGACGAACGCAGAAAAAATTGTCTAAGAAGATTTTAAAAATATTTAAAATGTAAAATTTTGATAAATAGTTTTATTACTCATTATATAATATATATATTTTTACATAATTAATTTACAAATATCATATAAAACTTTGAATAAACTATTAAATGTGTATGTCAAGTCATTTTTTATAGTATTTTTTCGATATTTCGGGTAAAGGGGGTAGGTGTTGAACACCCCTGCCCATGCGTTTGTGCCTATAGGCACTAAATATTATACTACATACTCTGTACTCACGATAATATAGTATTTATACATTTATTTTCAGTGATCAATAATAATTTCAACAGCTGCGCGAGATTAATTTATGGTTTGTGTATGGGAGAGCACGCATGCATAAAATAATAATTTTAATTATTATTAATTAATAAAATTGTTTTTTTATTATAACGTTTGATTGAAGACACTAACGATTATTTACGCGTTTGGTGCTGTTTTGAAAGTTTTTTTAATAAAATATAATTTTACCATAGACATAATTATACTAGGTATAAAAACAATATCGAAAATAGCACCACATAAAAACACGTTTTTTTATGTATCCACTCATTAAATACTAATATTGTACCTTCAATGATTTAACTTATAATAACCCAATTACATATACATACCTTTTGTGCTGCAGGGGTATTGACACAGAGTGAAAATGACACAGACTTCATGCTATTGAAATCTATATCACAGATCTCTGACGTTTCGTTCGATCCTATTTTTAACGACCCGTTGAACAACATAACCAACACGTGTAAGTACCTTTCATCGTTTGTATATTGTTAAATAATTATAGTGGAAGATCAGCGCGTATACGATCAATATAAATTCATTTGCAGTACGAGTTTGGTCGTAACCAAATGTAATCAGAATATCATTCTATTACTGGTCGAAATGGAGATTTTCCCCAAAAATATAATTGAAAAAAAAACGAGAATTCGCACAGTTTTAAAATATAGCATAAGTAAAAAAAAAAAATATCGGTAAAAACTGTAAAATTACCATACGCAACGAAAAAAAAAAATTATGTGACATGAAAAATGTTTTATTCACCGTTTATGCTTTATGTTGAAAATTCTTTAAAAATATTAATTAAATTTGATGTTATTTCTTTATGCTCTTCATGGGTAGTTCAATAATTTAGAATTGTATGTTGAAAAATGATACTCACTGTGTTTTTGCTTAGTTGGACCTTTGTAGATTTTTCGTTATCTTAAATAAATACTTAAAATAGTTTTATATAAAAACTGATCGATTCTTATAACAAGTTTAGTCTTGACGCATAGTTTGTAATCCATCCCATCGTTTTTATCAGTGCTCATGAAAGTAACATTGGAAAACTTTTTGTGTCGCTGTTTTCCAAAAATAACATTTACTACAGAATAGTTGCCATATTCGGCAACATGCATAATATCGTTATATTATTACTTTTTTAACTTGTATTATAAATACATTTGTTTCGATCATTAATTTATAATATACAAAAAAAAAAATAATAATTATAAAAAAAAAACCCCGCTAAGAGGAAAAAGTTGATGATGGCTTTAATGGGAATGTTGAAAGATTGGAAGACATATGGAGAAATAAAGGGAACGTTATCGGTTAGACAATATAGTGGAAAGGAGATGGTGACTATGAAGGAGATCAGGATAGTTAAACAGTAGTTAGGAAGCATTGCATAAAATAAAGTCCTCATGACGAGTGTAATAAGGAGAATCATTCAAGAAATTATAAAAGAAGTGAGCCAATAGGTGATTGTGTCCCAAACCGCGGGGGTGAGAACAGGAAACTATGATTTAGTACGAAATAGGAAAAGATAAAATAGAAGGATAAATAATAAACAGTATTATAATAACAAAATAGAAATAAAAATACACCCATACGTAAAATATCCCGAGACACGTATATCCGGCCCATAGTCGTGATTTTGATTATTATATTTTTAATAACAACACCGCAGTTATAAATGTTACAATATTGTATTGGAATTGATGTACTGCTATTCTATTATCATGGTCATCAACATCATTGTCGTCATCGTTCAGCACTATATACTATGTATTTTACATTATAATATCGCTGCGGTTCTCGGACGGGATTTTATTTCGCGATGGAAGTACATAAATTCTGTATCACCGCGTGCGTATCGGCACATATTATTATTACTGTTATTGTACGTGTGCGGTACATTATACATGCCGTACAGTCATATATTTACATATTATATCGCGTTACATCGTGTGTGCATTTATGTTTTGTGTGTATAAATAAAACCGAGAATCAGGAGGAGTCACGCATCCCCGCCACGTCCTACCGGCAATGCTCATCCATTGCGCGTTTCAAATACCTACCACTAATAATAATAATAAAAACAATAGTAATAATACGTAGTTATAATAATAATAATATGATATGAGAATTAATGGTAATTTTGTAATATTCCAAATAGTTTGTGTTTCATTCTCCGACAATACATTAGCCGTTATTGATCTCCTTAATCCCCCGTGTACACTGTGCCGGAAGATTTGTAATGCTAATTCAATGGCCTACTTCCGGACTGACTTCTCATACATCAAACCGGCAATTCAATTAATCGAATCTTACGTCATGTGGTTGAACGTCACCAGAGAAATTACGTTGGTTTTCACAAACGAAAAAGGTAAATTTATTTAACGAATAATCAATTCCAATGGATTTAATTACAGGCTTTACTATTATCTTCGGATTTGACTTTTCACAGCTTAATTTTAAACTATCTATATTACAAACATAAGCTTGGTATGTAGTAGCAACAATATTTTTCGACATTATTGGCATTCTGTTTCACTAGTACAGCGGTTCCTAACCTTTTTAAGACCCATAAGTCAGGTTAGATATTAACAAATACCCCTTCCTCCCAAAAAAACAGTTAAGTACAAAAATAACGAAAAAAAAATATATACAGTGTGTAAATGCTAACTGAGAACACTCAATATCTTTGCGTAGAGACCTGAAACATGAATTCTAATTTTTTTTTTTGGTTTTTATTACATAAAAATATGTATTTTTACGAGTTATTTATAGACACACGCATGTGTAGTACAACTTTTTTCTTAAATGACAACCACCTATTTTAACCACCAATTATTTTTTGCCTATTTTTTTAATAAATTTTGGTAGTTAAACCAACTTTCTAAGTCCAAAAATGACCAAGTTACAGCAATTTAACTAAAAAATTGTAAATTGCGTGCGATTTTAAATTATTTTGATTGTAACTCTGAAAATAATTATTCTAAAATTGTTAAGACTCGATATTTTCACTCTTATTTATTAAAGTGAAATTTACACGTTATTATAATTTTATCTACTGCATAATTTTCACTTTAATTTGGGTACATATTATAAGTTATGACAGAAAAAACATAAATAAACAAGCATGTTGTTTATTTCTATATCCATATCGAATGATTCATTGATACATACAGTGGAGTCACGATAACTCAAATTTCAAGGTGGATAAAAATGAATTGGACTTATGTACATTTTAAGTTATAAAAGTGATTTTTTTTTTTTATAAGGTAGCTTTAAAATAATTTAAAATTCTTCTAAATATTTGAATAGTATCTTATCTGCACTTTTGTTTTTATCATCGAACATTCTTATATTATCGAGCCAAACCTTTGCTTCTTTATTAGATATAGCTATTGGATATTCATTTTTTTCTTCGTCTGAATCGGATTTAAAAAATTATTGCCTTAAGATCCACTCAATCTTCACCACTTAATATTTCAGTTATATAAACATATCGACTTTATAAAATGTTTGAAGTGTTATTTCTGTTATTAATTTATTGTGATCTACCATAACATATCAATCGATACCTCTATTATCGACTTTAATATAAGTAATTTTTTTTCTTTAAACCAAATTCCAGATATATTAAGATAATTAACAATTGTATTCTCCTCGGTACATTACCATATTTTATAACATATTCACATAGTTTGTAATAATTTTATCTAAAAAGATCTTCGTCCGTATTGTTGATCATTTTTCATAAGACTTATTTACGATATAATATTTTAAAGTTACCTTTTATATTTTGGTTCAATAATTTGAAGTTTTGACGTTATATTTGGTGGAAGAAATTTTACTCTAACAGAATTTAGTTTATTTATTTTATGAGCAGTATAGTTGTCAATTAAGAAAAATACTTATTTTCTTTTTAAAATTTTTTTTTCAAAACTAGACAATAATTTTTCAAACAGTTCACACACTCATTTTCTTCGCTTTTTTATTCGATTCATAATCTAATGGATAAGTTTTAAAACCTAAAAATACCTACATTTTGCTGATTTTCCAATTTATAGTTATTTTATTTTATTCGAGTCAGTCACAGGAATTTGATAAAGTCGTTAAAAGAATATTTATTAATAGTTGCTGCGTATTTTATTAACCAATAAGTACACGTTGGCTGATCAACTGAAGTATTTTCACCACATATTTTACGAAAAACAAAGTTTTACCTATTTTCCAATTACTTAACTAAATTTGATTAAATAAACTGTTCATGACAAAGTTTAGTTGCAAAAAATTGAGCCTTCTCGTTTAAAATTAGTTCATTTACTGGAATGTTTAAATCTTCACACTAAATAAACCAAAGTGCTTCTTATTATTTTTTATTATTTTCATACTAATGTACAATATCTTCTTTATTTTTAGAGTGGTTAAAAGTGTACTCAATTAAATATTAAATTGTTAAGCAATTTAGGTCTATCACTTTTAAATACTTCGTTGATTATGTTTATTTTTCAGAAATTGTCAATTTAACCGATTTATGTTTAATAGACATCACGAATAATGAATAGTTTTATACGGAAATTATTGACTATTTTACAAAACCATTCTTTTTAATAAATATAATATATTTAAATATTATACATTTATGATTATAAGCCAGTTCTACATTTCTTATAATAATATTAAAAATATATATTTTTCATTACTGACTTTAAGTTATCTATGTACAATTATTTTTACATACGACTTTTCATAACAGATAATTACATTTAGCATAGAATTGTATTTCTAAGTCGTATGATTTAACGTCAGTTTCACTAAAATTGTCATCATAGATAAATGTTTTATGAATTTAACTGTTAATTCATGAAACTCGTAGATTTCTAAACTCAAATATGAAATATTTTCTGTTCTATACATATTATATACAGATGCTGATCAAGCGATCGCTTACTTGACTTCGGGAGAATCTCATTTGAGATCCATTGTCTTGTACCGGCTAACTTCTAAAGAAATCGAACAGCTTAGAAACACAAAAATCGGTGTACGACACATCGCACTGATAGGGAATAATTTGGAACGACACCTGGAAACGGTTAGTGTGAAATACGTAGTAAAGAAAATAATTTAACTATTATTAATATTTTTCTATGATTGTAGATACAAAAAGAGAATCTAATAAGACACGACGAATCTTGGATAATTATTACAAACACAACAAATTTAATTGGACTCAAATCGTCATTGGTGGTCATGAAGATCACTTCGTGGGAGAACGGTGGATATGCAAATAAAACTTCGCGGGTTAAAAAATTTTTTGACTTTCTTTTATACTTCCTCGTCCATTTTACACCACAAAACCGCCAAAATTTCAACTGTGATCTCAGTTCTGATGTCACTCTATCAGAAAATCGCAAAAAAATCGAAGACATTATCAGATCAGTATGTATTTATATCAACTGGGAATATTTAGTAACAGTTCTGTATTGTAATGAAGGTAATATATTTTACTATAAATATATGTAATGGTAATAATGACATTTTTGAAAAACTACTTTAGACCATACAAGTATGAACACATTTCTCTTTAATAATTATATAGTTGAAATATTAAATTTCATCGGAGCATGTATAAAAATAAATTAATAAATTAACATAATATAGCCATATCGGTAACACATAGAAAGTTAAACTAGTATTATTTAGAATAATTAATCATTCGTATTTATAGTTCTAATCAAATCCTCCCCGGTGACCTCTCAATTATTCCTATGATTAGATCTTGCTTAAGTGAATAACATAATTCATAACCATAGCTTTACGATCACAAAAACCCTCTTGTTCATGAAAAAGTCATTCTTGGAAAACACCAACAATAATATGTCTCTTCTCATAAACCGATGATCTCAGGTTATACTCTCACCCGCAACTTGAAATAGTAACTCACGGTGTTCCCAAGTGGCAGGTTATAGCTGATTTATTTATAAAAAAAAAAAAAAAAGTCAATCTAACAAGAACAAAAAGTTCTGCTGATATTATAGTTTAGTGTTAAACCAATATTTAACTATGCATTCAACTTATATAGTACGAACTCAAAGACGAAATCCATTTCGAAGCCGACACAGATTTGGTGACGTACAACGATCAAGCAGAAATATACAAAATGAATGTGAACGGAGTGCCAAATCATTTGGGTTCGTGGACCGCGAACGACGATTTAAACATGAAATACCTGGTTTCAACTGTGTCCAGCGGCCGTCGGTTTTTCAAAATCGGGATCATAAAGGTTAGAATATTTTACATATAGTATCATGTTTAAGTTTAAAGTATTGACCCGATATGTGCTTACCTATGCTAGTGGCGTAACTACTTGCACGAGGTCATGTAAGTTAGATCGCCCGACAGATTGCCTTTTTTTTAACATCCACAGATAATGGGTTAACTATTGGAATACTCGGCCTATTATCCTATAGAGCCTATATAGAACATGTATTTGAGCATAGCTCTTTTTTCGATGACATGCATTTTTTTTTTTTATTATTACATTGTTGTTTCAGAAAAATATTCCCAACAATGTGGTTCTATTTTAATAGACCTATTATCTACGTAAACCAAAGATCAAAAGTATTATAAACGCTGAAAATAAAAAAATGAATAGAACCAATCTAAAAAACCATGAGGTACTCTATTCATAATTTATAATATCTTTTGATATATCATATTAATTCATGTATTCCTCGACTTTGAAAGAATAAACGTTTTCTTCTACACATACTTCAACTAACTCTATCTAAATATTATCAGATTTTATAAAATTGGTTCTCTATAAAAAATAATAAATAAATATTGAAAAAAATATAATATTTAATTAATATATACTTAATACATATTTTGTTTTATGTTTTACCTTTTCTAATAACTAATAATATTAATATATTATTAATGTAGATTAATAATAATTTATTAAAATCACCAAATGAAAATTTAAACTTCTGCTCCAATATATATAGTAAGTTAGGTTAGGTTATAATATTTATAACATCTTAGATTTCAATAAGAATTCATCATTCCGTTGAGAAAAAAATAATTTTTTGTTGAAATATATTTAATGTATTTTTTTCATACCGTAATTACAATGCATACATTTGTTTGAAGCTTATATGACATATCGTAATACTATTTTACTAATTCTAAAGTTTATACCTTGGACGTTCTTTGAGGATACGTGGAAAGGTTACTGCATCGACCTTATTAAAAAGCTAGCCAAAGAGATGAATTTCAAATACGAACTGGTCGTTAAAGATAAATTCGGTGATTTCAACAACATAACGAAAAAATGGACTGGACTGATCGGCGGCCTAGTAGAAGGAGTAAGTGAATTTTGAATCCTTTTTTGAATCTTGTTGACACAATTATTAGGTAGTATTAGGAGAAAGATATTGGAAGGCACCTTTGGAATCTAAATCAAAATTCACCTTTACCAATTATGATTTTTTCATTATTAAACATTTTATTAACTTTCTTCATCAAGTCATGTGTTATAAAAATTATTATTTTTAAATAATTTAAAGTTAAATATATTTACAAACAAACTTTATTCTTACCATTTTTTTAAATTATAATATTATTTTTATTCTTGATTTAAAATATTCCAAAACAAAATTATGTACGAAACTTTGTGTTGATAATTATGAAAATTAAAAAATCAACATGTGATTATTATAAAATAACAATTTAAAATTCATATTTTATAAATTTATTCTAATACAAAATACATTTTTTTAACACGTACATTTTTCATTTACAACTACTTTTCATTTAACTAAGAAAAATCGTGCTTAACATCAAATAAAATTATTAGATGAAGCAGTATTAAAAAATCGTTTTCGCTTGACAAGTACACCAAATTATAACTATCAACATGTGTTGATTATCTTAATTTGGTGTACTAGTACCCTAATATTTGTTTATACTGACTATTTTGCGATCCTATATTTGAACCGATATAGAGAATGTGGAACATGTGATTTATGGTAAATGGATAGAGGGAAGTAGTGGTTAAAAGTGCGTTTGTCCGAAAAACATAGACTTTATCCGAGGAGACTGTCACGTTACACTCAATGAACGTCGATGCATTCTCTTCGCATACACGATTTATGTAAGTAGCGAATATCAAGGCGTTTTGTTCGTTGAGATCATTAGAAACGGTATCGCATAAATCGATATAATTATAACAATATGCGTATACAGTATGTATGACCCGCGAATAACCGTCCAAAGTATAATATGCACTTATATGCATAATACGAACTAGCGGTTTGGAAAAATTGTCACATGATGCGACCTATCGCAAAGAACGAACGGCGAGGAAATATGCGTGCATATAATAATTTATATTTATTTTATATGAACATGACCGAAAACAAACGAGCTGTGTGAAGTTCGTGTCGTTATGGTGTACGACGCACAAAAAATGTCAATAAATAAACAAAAAAGATACAAAGTATTGTGCGCATAGTTAATAACAAAGCACGTCATGCACACACACACATTCAAACATTTGCATAAAAAAAAATAACATCCCTTTTTTTCCGGCAAATTAATTTCATTCGTGGTCATATGTTTAGGATAAAATAATGTCTATGTATATTTCCAATATTAATAATATTATATAGGCTTAGGAAAAAATAAAATATTTTAGGAATTTTACATACGAAATTATTTATATTGTTGTAAAATATTACCAAAAACTCTTTATAATACTGTACCCTTCTCCTTATTGTATAAAAATTTAATTTTTACGCTACTATTATAATCTTAATGGGATTAATGAACGCCAAACCGATTTTCTTCATCTTTGTAATCATGAAACCTATAACAGTTGATGTTGACATGGAAGCGATCACTTATACATTTTACAAAACAAATATTTCCGTTAAACTTAAATGATAATTTTTCTTAGTAATTCGTGAAAACCTTCATATAAGATGAATATAAAATCACTTAAAGGCTGAACGAACATGCACTTAAAAGTATTAATTTTTCAAACCAGATGAGTGGTAAAATCCAAATGGTAAAAAAGAAATGTGTTTTATCTCCGTATTCAGCTTGAACACTTTCACTAAAATAGGTCTATTTACTTTTAATATTTACAAATTTGACGCCTACACAGTTCTATGAAAAAAAATGTCTTGAAATTACTTTCAAGCCGAGATCATAAATAATATTATGGACAACACTATTCCACATGCACCACTATGACTATATTTTAAAAACGACTGAAATATCGTAATATAGTGTATAGTGATGTAAGTAGCTCGATAAATAGTGATCGAGATTATTGAACAAATACCTACTGATAAATAAAGTTCAAATTTCAATGCAAAATAAATATTTTAATGATGAACCTATTATTTTGGTTTTTTTACATTTTTTAATACTTTTGAGTCGTTTGGACAGTTTTAGTGGAATTTTTTTACATTATATGGCTTAAAAATGACCATAGACATATGTAAATATTATATTATAAATATATGTATATCTAAATAGCCTTTTTGGGTCAACAGAGTCGTAAGTAATAATATAAAATATTATTATAAAAAATAAGCTTATATATTTGTGGAGCGCAAACTGCAGGCCAGCCATAACTACTTATACCTAATTTATAAATACATGAAAAAGTATTTAAAATTCATAATTGAACTAAAAAAATATCACTATTGGCGATTAGCGCATAATTTAAAAAAAAAATAGTAAAAATTCAATAAAAATCAAAATAACAAAAGTAGCAATTAGCGTGCACTCGAATAAATAAAATATTGCTGTAATTAACGCATACAAATACTAAAAAAAAAATAAAAATCAATACAATATGTTAACGATAAGCGCACAAACAATATAATACAACAAATAGGCGATTTGCACATATTATTTTAATAACTATAATAATTGTACGGAAGACGTTCTACACATGACGAAGATTTACGCACGATAAAATAGAATTACAAAACCCACGTACCAACTAATATAACATTAATTATTATTATTATAATACGCCCGCTCATTAAAATTCACAAAATCGATAACATTTAGAAGCGTGTGTACGACCAGTTATTCCTTATTATCACCGTGGAGAACTTTCCGTATGAACCATAAAAATGCATAGTTAAAATTACCTCAAGGGGCTAAAGTGGATACACGCAAGGTAATTAAATACATCTGATATTATGCGGCGCGAACTTATATAAGAAAAGGTCAAGTTCTACAAACAAAAAAGTTTTTATTGGTATTGTTTATAAAAATGATAATTGAAGTCGTATTCATTATAACATTAAAAAAAAAAAACCTATTTCACAAAATAGGTTTTGAATTTTAAATTAGATCTTCAATGTCTTCGGTAATGTGTAAAAAGGACTTTTGGTTCCATTTTTCTAATTATTTACATAATGGGAAATTTTTAACAAATTGAGCCAGAATCATCCTTTATATGCTACTTAGACTGATATTCATATTAAACTTGATACTATATTGAATTATTTTATGGGAAAATATTAATCACCATAATATATTAATTTGATTTAAACTTGCAGCGATAATCATTTGAGTGTGGTAACGTTTGATTCGGTTTTTTAACTTAATTTTTTAGCTACATGTATAAGTCATGAGACTCAAACTATAAGATTGTATATTACGAAATATAATTTTACTGTGTATTTGTATGGAATTTTAATTTGAATACATTTAAAACAAATAAAATATGTATAATACGAGTAAACAAAATATATGTGTGATTTGAATTATTATTATATAAAACCCCTCCACAGTTATTCGAATCTTGAACTTCAAACTCTCTTTTTACGTATGATGTTTATTACAGGAGCTGGACATCGTGGTGGCTGCGTTGACCATGACTTCAGAACGTGAAGAAGTCATCGACTTTATTGCGCCGTACTTCGAACAATCAGGAATATCAATAGGTAACCGTAGAAGCAATGTTCAATACTGGTTTAACGATTTTTAGTCTTAAAAGAAAACTATTATTAAATTATTGCTAGCGTTTTATCACTGCAATATAACGCGTGCACTTCTCGGAATACCAGATTAAACGAAAACATTACCAAACACCAGTTTAATACCATTAATATATATCATTGTTTACGGCAGCGGTCCCTACTAGGATTTTAGAAAGGGTCGAATAATAACTTTGAAAATTAATTATAACTTAATAATAATAATTTTATTTAAAGTTATTTTGATGTTGATGGACAGTAGGTACCTCTCTGTTACTTTTATTATTTTATTAATGTCCTTGGGTGATGTTGATGTTGACGACCGCAGTAAATCGTCCAAATCAGTCAAGCGGTTCCTAAATTCGTTTTTAATAAATGTTCTTCTATTAAAAGTAGCTTCACACAAATATATTAACCTAAAAAATATTAAAATTTCTTTTACATTTAATAAAAGGGAAAGATACCAATATTCTTCAAGTATATTCTAAAATAATATTACATTATTTTAACTATTAAACATATCTTTTAATGTTAGTCCTGCTATAAGTCAATTAACTCGTTTTTCTACAAATTGACATTTCAATTAAAAAAACTAATTTCAAATATATGTTTTGTAATTACAGTCCATGGACTTTTAATAAATCGAAATTCATTTTGAAAATATTTCAATCATTGAAACGACTGTTTATTTCGTTTTTTTTAAGTAGTCAATAGCTCAAAAAATTGATGTTTTAGAGTTTCTTTATCAGTTTGTTAGAAAAAACATGATTTTCGCTCGCAATTAAATCGAATTTAAAATAACTTGGAAGATCGTTACCCGATACTTCTCCAATATACATTTCAAGTGTCTATTCGAAAGCAAAAATATTACTAGCCATGTGCGTTATAATTTTATTTTATCTTTGCAGAATAATTTGAAATGTATTTAAACTTTGAGTTACATTTACAAGGAATGCAAGTTTGTACCAAAATTCTAATGTTTTTATTTCTGAAAATTCAGCTTTTTGTTTGTGAATAATTATTCTGATACTTTAACTTTGCTTAGCCATCATAATTTCCATATAATATATAATTTCACTATATTGAGAATTTAATTCAGAAAAAATTCTTTACATTTTCGATAACTTCAATCTCTGGCTCTGATAAAATTATTTTATCCAGAGAGCCAGAAATTGAAAATCGTTAATTATAAACGATTTTCATTTTTTTTTTTTTTTTCATTACATTGTTAAAATAATTTGAAAACATACATGATACATTTTCCTGATGTATTATGCAATGGACATTTTTTAGTTTTGGTTTTTCAATTTTATTTTTAATAAAAGAAACAAGACCAGATTTATTTTCTATCGTTGAAGGACACCAGTTTGTTTTAAAATTATTTATGAAATTAATTATGAAAACAAATTTAAATTAAATTTTGCCAATATATTCCATATTTTTAAAAATAATCCAAGTCACGAGTTTGGCCTTTCATCAGTATGCCTTTTAAATAATTTCCACTAATATTAATATCGTTTGAACAAAATTTAACAAACATAATTAATGTGAAGTAGAGTTTATATTTATATCCATTAATAAATCTAATGCTAAATAAAAAAAATAAGCATTCTATTAATTTGTTGATTACTGAATCGATTACTTGATTTCCAAGATATTGAACCCTACGAACATTTGCGGTGTCTGCAATAATAACTGCAGATTTGAAACTAGGTCATCTATTTCTTTAAAATTGGAAAAATTACAAGTCTTAGTATTTACAACAGTACCAATACAATCGTTCATGAGTTCAACATCCAAAAATGGTTTCATACGTTTGGTCAACAAATGTGTTACTTCGTGAGATCTTTTTATTGCAAGTTAATTTTTATTAGTAAACCGTAATATAGATTGTTTTTCAGGAAAAAATCTTTATTTTAATTTGAATAGTTTTTGTTCTCTCTTTTTTTTTTTTTTTTAGATAAGAAAGGATGAGTTTTAGAAAATTCAATATGTATTAAACGATTATATTATAACGTTTTAGAATATTTATGGTTTTATGATAAATTAAATACAAAGCATAGTGTTTCTTTCCAAAAATAGAGAAAAATTCCATTTCCCAACTGTCTTGAAATATTTTGTGTTCTTCTTTACGTCTTGTGATTATAAATTAAATATTATAATAAAACGTGATAAAAACACATAAATAATAAGGAAGAACTGTTCGTACAAGACTACGAAGCAACACTACGACGCGTGGAGGAAATAAATAATATGAGTTAAATAATAATCTTTTAATGCATCCCGTTCCTAGCCATATCTATCAAACCGGTGATTTCATAAAATTAGAAACAATAAAATAAACAAGAATTGTATTAAGATTATTATTAAGATTATTAATAATATTAATAATATTTTGATATTAATATTAACCTAAGTCTATTAATACTTATAAATAAAGTACAGATTTTAAAGCAATAAAAAAACTAAAGAAAAGCACACAAAAAAAAACAATAGAACTGTATAAATCTTCTAAATAAGCTTAAAAATGCATTAAAAATGAGTTTTAAAAAATAAATAAATAATTTTCGGTATTTTTTAAATGACTATGGCATATGGTGTTACAACGAAAACTAAACTGTAATTCTGAGTAGGTAGAGTATAGTATAGTATAGTTGTATAGTTTACAGAGTAAAAGCATATTTTTGTCTATCCTCGTTTCAAGCAAAATTAATTACTATATATCATACGGTATATGACAAACTGAACACACAGAGAAAGGTTGTCCAAAAAATGATTGAACAAGATTTCTTAATAAACATTATTAATAACACATTATATAATATAAAAATAAATATTAACATTTCAAATATTTTATTTAGAACACATTTTGAAAAAATGTAACTTAAAAACAAAAAAATGAACCCAAAATACCCCAAAAAAAAGCTGTGATGTTTGAAAAATGTAACATAAAAACAAAAAAAGGTATCCAAAATACCTAAAAAAAAAGCATTTATACACAAAAAACGCAAAAAAAGCAAAATATAATGTAGTGCATTTTATTCTAAGTAGTATAAATCGAATTTGTAGCGGGCATAGCTTCGTTTTAGAGAAATAGTAAAAAAAAAATCAAATGCCTTTGAAATTCGTGCTCGACTTATATATAACATTACATCGACACTATATATTTTTTTTTTTTTTAAATCCAAAAACTTAATTTATTCCATACAGATATATAATGTATTTTATTTGATATATAATATAAACATGTTATATAAAGGATACACCGATAATATATGTTGGTGCTATCTTTGTCCCTCTCCCTACTAACAACTCTTCTCCAAAATATCAAGCTCTCAATACACACTAATTCATCGCTATTAAAACAAAAGCAAAAATACAAATAAACTATAAAGTTTAATAATAAAGTATCACGGGTTTTTATTACACGATAATGATTTCACGATACACTGCGAATTATAATCTCCGATTACAAATTCGCATTTACAAAGCATGTCGTAGGTGTAAAACGTATTCACATTTCAAATAAATAATATAAATAATAAGAAATAAATGCTTAAGGTACCAATTCGGAATATAAAGCCTTTGTTGTGCAAATCTTATAATCTTATAATCGTACGTAATCATAGGTATGCATATTTAAGCAAAATTAAATCATCGCATTCGTTACGAAAGTTTACACAATATAATGTATACATATTTATAAGTATTGAAAATTCTTTTTAATAAAATCTCATAGATAGTTTTCTTTTAGTACAACTAATCTGAATGTAACAAGAAATAAGTCTTGAAACATAAAATTCCTTATGAAAAAACAGTGTTTTGAACTTAAAAACTAGCTTAAATAGAATACATTATAATTATTTACTACATGAATTGACATTGGATTATCTACACGATTTTCCAAACCATTTATCACTGAATTCCGAATATTTATTTTCTAAAAAAATATAAAGATGAATAAATAATGCTTCGTGGATAAAATCCATCATTATTTTATAATTATTTTCAGTTTGCTTTCATACGAGAAAAATTATTTAGAAATCAAAAAAAAAGATCACTTAGATTTTATAAACTTTCTATAGCATCCACTTTTTCTCTGAAATCGTACATTTTAGAATTTTGATACTGTTTTTCGGAGTACGGCCACGGAAAAAGGAAATCCCTTCGCTTTGGAATCTAAAATTAATTTATTAATATTCTATACGTCATGTTGGCGTCGAATTCGCCCTTCGCCGGACCAAGGATTATAACTACTACTATAACTGAGATTAAAACAATTGATAACAAAGAGTTCATAATCTAATGTTAAAACTGTGTGCCTACATCCAAAATTCAAATATAATATACATAATATGGCTTATACATGTGAGCAAAATAATCATAATCAACTACGTACATTTTACTTTAATAACACTAGTATTTAAACGCTATCCTCTTATTTTTAATTCGTTCCTGATAAATATTGATTTGTTGGTAATTATTTCCAACGCTGTTATATGCGCGACGACATGATGCATACGAATATATTGCAATAACTATTGATCAAATAGAGAGATAAAATTGATTTTTAAAAATAAATAATTTTTGCATAATATTATTATTATATTTAGATTTGGCATCTAATTATGGGGTGCCGCCAAACCCTCCAATATTACTAAAATTCAATCGTTTCAATCCAAATGCCTACGAAAAATAACTAAAGCTCCATTTTATGTCTCTAATGATACTCTCCATAAAGATCTATCCATCCAAACAATAAAAAACATTGCCAAAACTTTTTACAAATGCATGCACTCCAATCTACAGAATCATCGTAACACCTTAATTTCGAAACTATCTTCTCCCACTATTCCTGGTGACCCCAGAAGGCGTCTAAAACGAACATGGTGTCGTGATCTACTTTTAGACTAACCCCCACCATAACATGTCATGAAGTCCCATCAATGGATGGTCTCTTCACTCAA